GAGGACCATTGAATCGCGGATAGAATCACGGATATGTGATTGTAGGATCACGCGGCGTCGCGCGCGACAAACTGCGACTATCTCATGCTTGCAATCGAGCGCGCGCTCAGATGATCCACACGTCAACTTAACGTGACATTTGCTGCGATCTTTTCAACAGAGTATTTCTTGAATGGCTGGACTGAATAATAAACGCGATCTGACGGTGATCCCCTGAAACGGAAGGAAACAATTTATCAATTGTCGGGTTTTAAGGATAAGGCTGTCTAATATAGGACGTGCGCTGCTGTGACCTTGTTGCTTTGTTGAGTCAATTAGACAGTGAGGCTGGCTTGCTAGCTAGTTGACCCGATGGGGCGATTTTGCGACTCGGATCTCCTGACCGACGCCCGTATGTTTGCTCAATTAGTAGACTTAGTAGACGATTGATCTAACGCGTGTTGTGCGTGACCATTCATGATTTCTAATCGATGTTCTCGACGATTCTGCCATCATTTATTCTATTCATCATCGTCTGATCATACTATCATTGAATAATTCCTTTTGCTCTGTCTGTCACTTTACAAGCTCTGCGATTTTTTGTTTCACTTCACTTTCTCATTTTGCCATCGCTTTCTCACACCCACCAACCAATCTACCAAACATGAACTACTTTCCTTATACAGTTCTTTCACAGCAACACATCTCTGTTAATTAAAGCCAGAGAGTAACTGCCTTGCTCTCGGGGCTTGTATGAATTCGATAATTGAGTGAATTCGATAACTTATCGGCTTACATCTGAAGTAAATGTCCTTATCTGTGTACAAGACTTCGGTGCTCATGCAATCTCATCATTTGTATGTATGAATCCGAAGGAGAAATAAAAAATTAAGTTGTATTATTGTGTTCTCAGTTAGTACTGCAGTTTAGAACTGCAGGGATATCTCTTAGCATTAGGTATATTTTCTTATGTTTTGTATTCGCAACCCTGGGACATCTTTCAGTACTTATCCGAGGGATAGAACGGGCGTGGCTGCGCACCACGATTGAACATTGCGCAGGATTTGTCTTTCGTTGGATATCTCTATTTGATGCAACTCACCAGCTCGAAAGCTGCCATCCTGTTCTAAGCTGAGCAGAGATGTTTAGAATTCTCACAAAACTCCATCCACCGAAGACGCGGCCCCACGTTATTCAAGTGAAGTGCGCAGCCACGCCTACTCCATCTCCGGAATATGGAGTGTACCTTGTGGTTATATAGTGAGAGGAAACTATGTCTGAGAGAGAAAGTAATATCGTAAACGCCTGGCCTATGCTTGCAAAGGAAATGGCTCAAATCTGAGACGTCCCTAAAATCTAGAAATCTGAACCGTCCCTAAATCTTTTGCTTTAGATATGCTGCGTAGCTCGTTCTTCGGAGCACATCACTACGTTGCGGGAGCTTTTTGCTAGATACGACCCCCTCTCCCCTCAACTTGCTCCTGTTCGACCTCTTGCATAGCCTTCCACTTTCCATCTCTAACGAACTTTTTCCCAAAAATTTGTTGTCAAGCGGGGAAAAGGCAGGCAGCATCCATTAACTACCGTCAGAAATAGCTCTGTGCTGCCAACTGGGAGGGATTGAGGTGGCAGGTCTCTTTTGCATAGAAAACCAGCGAAGTCACAGTCACATTAGGGCAAGATAGAGCTGCAGAGAATCTCAGGCCGAGATCTCCTTATCGCTGATTCCAGTCATCAGGCAAGATCAGAAACTGGTTTTGTTTTGATTTGAGCACGTTTTCGCAGTTTTTTTGATGTGGTGCATCCAACTGAATTGTAATAAGATTTCGAAAATCTCTCTGCCTGAAGCCTATGTTGCTGTCTGTGTCTCGAAGAATTTGATTCACTACCGACTCCCTTATGATGTGGGCCGGGAGACCCGAGTTAAGGCCGTGAGGCGGAAGTCGCACTGGGAAGGGCGCTGCACGCTCAGAGCTTGCATGGAATCTAACCAGTTTGGCGCTCAAGTGCTACGAGAAAAAGCTAGAGCATTCGAGCTGTTTTTCTAGGATACCCCAGGCATTCCACTTCCCCTTAAAATCGCAGTCCATTTCGAGCTCTATCCAGAGATAGCCTTTCACCGATATCCACATGACACTATGTTTCTAATCGATGTGGATAGTCACCATGAAAGTACCCTCGTACGCCTTTTATCACACTTACTTGAACTTACATTGTTACTCGCTATATTGCCCCTTATGTGTAGTTACGTTATTGAAGACCCGCTAC